AAAGGGACACCATCAGGTTCAAAACAGCATGCTGTATATTTACAAGAATGCCCTTATAAGAAATACATTTCATTGGTAAAAAAAAAAAAAAAAAAGGATGTTTCTCGAGTCTCTCACTCTTCACCATTTTGGCTGTTTGTTCAGTTTCAGCATTTCAGGTAGACACCAGGATTTGTGTGTGCAGTTAGTTTCTGGTCTATCCATCTCCCAAGGTCTCACTTATTAGCATGATGCTGCAGTGCTACATAGGACACTGGAAAGAATAATTGTTACAAGCACAAATTCAACTGGCATTTCCTTAGGTTACACATTTCACAGGACCGCTTCCATTGGTCAGGGGCTCTTCCTGCCCTCCCCAAATTCACCATTCCAACGACTTTGACCTGACATTGTCCTTTTACGAGGAGTCTTATAAAATTGTACTTTTTCCTGTCCTACTGAATGTCAGGAGTCTTGGACCCCCTGCCCTCTCCCCATCTGCTAGTCTTATACCATTCTTTTCTTCCTCTTAGCAGCTTCCTAAAACAATAAAAGGATGTACTGAGCAGGATGTACTGGGACATTCATTTATTCAATGGAAAGGAGATGCTGTCTTTATTTCCAGGGTTTGTTCTGCAGACTGCCGCTGCTGAAGGAGCGGGTGGCAAGGGAGCTAGCCGAGTTGGCGGTGGAGAGGTTCTGACTGCTCCTCACAGTAGAGGCCCTGCAGTCCCGGCCCGAGGAACCACGGCTAAGGCGGTCTGAGGAAGAGAGACCAGAAACCCATGTGAAGCAGTGCACAAGCATACAGAGCAATTTTGTTTCAGCAGGGGGTGGGTGCTGCCTGAGCCAGAAGAGCTTGGGATGCAAATAACACCTTGGTATGAGTTTTAATTGTAAGCTTCTAGACCAATTACCTAATAGACCTTGATGTTTCCTCAAGGCAGTGGCCATCTACTGGAAACAAAGCAGCAGGATGTGGGACAAGCAGGGCCAGTGTTGTAAGATGCCCTTCCTGCTCTAGGGCTGCCCGATGCCTGTCCTTTGAGGATGCTCAGAAATCACTTGGGGAGGGACGAGGTGAATAACTGCCATAGCCACATTTGTTTCCAGCATCCATAAAGGTTGTCAGCAGATGGGTCAACACCCAGCTCACAATCCTTCTATACTTTAGACCCTTAGCAAACCACACCACACCCCACCCACAGCTGCTACCATCATCACTGTGCTCAGCCTTCATTTAGGTGGTCACGTCCTCTTCAAGACTCACAGGGCAGGTTCTGCTCCTGACATATGTACCATTACTGCCCCGCCCCAACATCCCCCATCACTGATGCAGCTGGAGAAGCCATATAACCATGTTCTAGCGACAAGCGTGAGAAAGAAATGGAAAGGCTTCACCAAAACAGACCATGGGTTCCTAAATTCTGGGTGGCCTGGTGCACACCTGCCAATACACTGGTCTTGGATTTTAGTAATTTATGGGCCAAATCCTGACTTCCTTTCCCCAGACACCTGATTACAATCAGAAAGTGGTGCAATAGCCAATTCAGAAGACAGTCTGTGGGAACTTTGCAAACTCAAGTGCCACGTGGGCAAAAATCACATAGTTTGTCAAGGGGTCTTACTGGCAGTATCTGAAGGGATCTGCTCTTCTTCCAGGTAGCACTTTATCTTCTGTAGATCTTCTGTAGTAAATCGCCACTTATTCTCAGCGGGTGTGGGTGGCACTTTAGGGCTGGCCCTTTTCCGGGCAGAGCCAGTTTGGGTCATCAACTGGCAGGATGTTGGGAATGAGCCAGTGACTAGTCCTTCAGGCACCTTCTGTGCAAGGACTTTTAGACCTGCGGGCAATACAGAGCATACAATAATCCATCATTTGCAGTGCTTGATCAACCCTTTTGAATATATCTGTCTCTGGATCAGAAGTGGGAAGCAGAGTTTCTCTGATTCTTGCCCCCTAATTGCATCTACATAACAGTGTTTTTTTTAAACTGTGAAGTCTTTAGACCAGTGGCTCTCAACCTCAGGTCGCGACCCAAATCAGGTTCATGGGGGGCTCTGCCCCTCCCACCTGTGGGGCTCTCCCAGCGTACAGTCCATGCGGCTCTAGACGCCACTGTCCCCCATGATCCCGGCCTGACCCGGGCTTTGCTGGCACCACCAGGCATGAGTGAGTTGGCGACAGAAGTCGCAACCTGGATTTAGGGTCGCAGCAAAAAAAAGGTTGCAAGCCTCTGCTTTTGACCAATAGCCCCAGAGGTACTGAGCACTCCCAACTCCCCCAAGTTTCAGCAGAAGCTGTAGGTATTTAGCATTTTGTAGAATTAGTCCTTGAAAAAAAATTGGCCTTTGCCCAATGGAAACTGGTGGCTATTGCATGAAGTATCACGATTTGTAGCCGATGAAAATCCTTGGAAACATCCAGTCATGAAAGCAGCTACAAGGATTAGGCTTTCAAAGCTGAGACTGCATATTTCAAGGTGTAAGAGGGGAAAGAAGTCTAAATGCTTCCACCACCATATTATTTAGGGTCTCTACCCTTCAGCAAAGGACTGAAGGGATACTAATGTAACTAAGAGGTCCAATCTTGGATTCTCATGAACTTTAGAAATGCTTGGAGATAATGGGAAGACAGGATGTCAGGCTGCTCTCAGTGAAAGCTAACATGGTATGTGTGATGGAACTAAATCAAAGTGATGGAAGTAAATCAAAGACTCTGTGGTGGGATGGATTTGTGCACCAGTTTGCAATCTCTGAGGACTGGGGTTAAAAACCCAACTACCTATTTTAGATCATCTGCAAGCAAAGTGTCATGATTCTGTGGTATCCTCCTAAACCTTGTTTACAGTTTCTCCTACGGTTGCTTTAGCACCTGTGTGCCTTTGAGGGTTCTCCATTACTGCCAGCTCTGGCAGGCGTGGGCTGTGCTAGCATAGATCAGCTGTCAGCATTTAAGACCACCACAGCCTTCAGATCTGCTGCGAGCAAGGTTCACTCATTCACATGACAGCACTGCCTCCTGTTTATACCAGGGCTTTCAGCATTAGAACTGGTGGGAGAATTCCTTAAAAATCCCCAGTGCCTATGAGACACTTCACCAAACCAACCCACAATTCAAAAAAATGACAGATGCCTCCCCTTGACAGCTCTGAGCAGTCACAATGTAGTTGTTTAGGGCTGAGATACACTGATGGAGTTATGTAGGCAGAGCTAACCCCAATCCCTAGCCAAGTCCCTGCACTGATCTGCCAGAAAAAAACCCTCACCTCCAGATAACATGAATACGTTCTCAAAGCCTCTCTCGCACATGGTGGTGGCAGCCTGGCTGGCTATTCGCTCGTCATCATCGTACAAGATGATGATCTTTCCATGGGCATTTTTCTGACAGGCAGTGGTGTTAAAGATCCTATGCATTTTTCAGAGACTTAATTTGAATCAGATAGTTGAGATCTTCCCAAAACTATAAAAACAACAAAGATGCAGGAGGACCCAATCTGAAAGCAGGAAAATTGCCAGGCTTGTGGTTACTAAGCAAGAATACTTCACACGGCCCTCTTGCAACCTAACATTAGCACTCCAGGAAGGGCACAGCTCACTCCCCCATTCTGGAATTCAATCTCTGAGAAGATCTTGTTCCAGGGCAGTTCTGCTAGTTCATCTAGCAACATAGAAGACAACAGTAAGAAGTGAGGCCTACACACATCCCTCCCTCCCACGGTCTATGGAAATCTAGAGCTTTGAAAATTGTCCACTTAATTCCGATGGATAATCTCCTCTCAATCCTTCAGAGAGGCCAAACTGCACTATGGTTCCTGCAGGAGAAAAGCTGGGTAAGCCCATATGGTGAAAGGCAGCACTGGGCAGAAATGCCCCAAGCTGGCTATACACCCAAAAGCTGCACAGATAGTCACATTAGCATAGTACTTTGCCAAGGCTAATAAGTCCTGCTTCTCAGCAGCAGAGGTGCTCAGCAAAGGGAACAGAACCCCAGCATCAGTTAAATCATGTGCACCCAGTAAGGTCCCATCCTGCTGCCCCTGAAAACATGAACTCCTACTGGCTTAATGTAGTCCCATTAAGGTCAGTGAAGAACTCCTGGCTTTTGTTTTGCCAAAACTTTGTTTCTCTTGAGATCCAGGGCTGTGCAAAGGATACATATTCCAGAATATTATTGGTGTATGGATTCATGGTCCTGGATAGCGTTGCGATTGGGTAGGAATACGCTGCAAAGACAAGAGAGAAAAGGTTTAAGGAATGTCTGCTCCTGTCCATCAGTTTAGAATTAAGGTGACCACTGTGAGGTGTCACTCTCCAGCACACCCCACCTATCTGCTCCTGTAGTGCCCAAGCTAAACTCAGAAATAAGGCAGAGAAGCTGCAGTGAGGCTGTCCCTCACAAGATCTCAGTCTCTGGCATGTGGAAGAGAAGCAGGCTAGCAGAGCATGCTTGACAGCAGTGCCCTCAGGAGTGCTGCAGAAGCAGGCAGACATATCCCATCCAGGGAACATAAGCTTAGTTCCCAATAAACAAGGGTTAACTTCAGCTCAGCTTCCCCCTTCCCAGTGCCAGACAGAGGGATTACAGGGGTGATAAGAGATAACATCTTGGAAATTCTTATCAGCTTGAGACTTCCCAGGTCCCTCTTCTGCTTCTGCTGGTTTTGCTTGCTCTATACCTGAAGAGGCAGACGCTGCCTCTGTCTGCCAATTTGGAACTGGAATAGGGAAGTGGCAGGGCACAGTCACTACTCTAAGCAGGGCTTTCCCAGTGGTCCCCGATAAGGCCCCCCTCATCAGCATCAGAGCACACTGCGCATAGCCCTATGCCATTCTTCCCTGCACAGGTGCTCTGTACTTCAGGCACCAGTTGATGTCTCATTGCAGGATGGGACTCACTACTAATGAGAAATAAACTGGCACTGGGCACTCATCGATGCCCATTTTAGAGGCAGAAATTTAAAAGGGCCAGAATCTGAACATACTTTGCAACTAAGTGGACAATGATGAAGGTTCCTCATGGGAATCCCATGCTGGTCATCTCTCCCTTACCTCCAACAATGTGACATTGGTCGTACGCATCTCGATCCCGTACGTCTAGCAGCAGGAAGGGGCAATCAGGATAAGGTCCATCTTTAGTATCATTAGTGTCAGGTTTCTTTAGCGTGTCTTTGTGTATGTCTAGCTCACCAACACCACTTATCAGGCTACAGGAGGAAAAAATGAGAGTTTGCATCAGAATCTGCTGTCAGCAATTCTTTGCCTCTTTATTAAGATCAGGATACTTTCCAGTTAGTAACCTGTCCAATGGACAGTTTCCATCTCTCTTCCAAGTTTGTTATCACACTTCAAAGAATCACGTGGACCACTTCAGACAGACTGTCCTCTGTTTCTCTAGAAGACTGATTCCCTTTGTAACTAGCCTCCCCATGAGTTTACGGAGTACTGAACATCCAGAGTTCAGCCTCATCTGATGCAAGTTGAGCCCCAGACATTTCGACAAGAAACAAAACCAATGAATTATTCACACACAAATGGTTTCAGAAGAGAGAGCAATTTTGTCATATGAGAGCTTGGGATCAGCCATTACCTTGATGACTGGTCCATGAAAAGTAGCTACTGACAGCGATTTAAAGATGGTTACTGGAATTCTGGGACACTTATTGTGTGCGAGGCTTGGCAGTGACAAAAGGAGTATTCCAAGCACAGGGGGACATAGGCGGAATATAGTGTGTGTGTGCGTGCGTGCGGCGGGGAGAAAAGGAGGAGAGCCATTCTTTGTACATTGCTATCGGATACCTTTGCAAAGTAGACCGATGAGACTCTCCACCACCAGTGTTGTTTATGAATAGGACTGGACTAGGTGGTTTCTCAGTAGGGCTTGCCTTCCCATTTGTCCCAGCTTTGAGTTGAACATCACCATCTGAAGCGATGCCATCACCATCTTAAAAAAAAAGATATTGAAAAAAATTGAATTGTGGAGCAGTTTCTCAGACCACTGGGAGAAGTCTGGATCTAGACCCGGATTATAAAACTCTGGACCATTTCTACAAAACGCAAGGATTCTTCTTCCACTACAGAAGTTCTCCCACTTGGCAGGTGGGTGGGTGAAAACTATTAGCTGTTAGGACCTGGAAGAATTAACCAGGTGAACAGCAGGCTTCATTTCTGAGGGAATATTGCAGGGCAGAGTGCAAGAAGACACACATCCAGTAAAAGTGACCAGGAAGGACAGTCAAATACATCCCACACTAGAGAATTACAATGGGAATAACAGGGCCAGCGTTGCCAGAAGGATTTGCCAGCATGATGTCTGCCAAGGCACTGAACTCCAGCCTCAAAGGGCACAGCTCAAGCTGGAAACACAAGGATGTAGATCTCCCTCCTCAGTCAAGAGCATTACCTTCCAGCTTTTGGATTTCCTCAGCTGTCACTTCTAACGTTTTATCAGACAGGGAAGAGACATGGATGACCTGGAAGAAACAAACAAAACTTGGTCCAAGACTCTTTTGGGACATGAGGCAGCAAAACCAATTCTTCAGAGATCCAGGTATATCAGAGCACACTGAATCAGACTGCCCCTTCTGTTGGTTTTACTTCTCACGTATAAGTCCCTGCCCCAGGCCAAAGAGCAACTGGCATCTTTATTAAAAAGAAGAACTAATCTAATTTCAGAATGAAAAGACCCAATTCATTCCACAACAGTCCCAGCTTATCCCAACACATTTTTAAAAAGTTGCCTTTCAAGTAACAGGCTACACATTTCAAAACCCACCCTGCCTTAGAGGAAAGAATCACAGCATTGCAGGGTCAATCTTGTACCATGTGCAAGATCAATCCTGAAAGGTGACCAGCACTGAACCCATCCATGCAGCACTTAAGGCTCAAGCCTGCAACCCTCCCCCATGTAGATATAATAAACCGTTGATTATCCAGAATAATTAGTGGCACCGTCATTCCAGATAATCAAGTTTCCCAGATAATCAAACACTACAGTATGGAGTCCCGAAAACTATAATTACTGTACTGCACAGCAAATATTATAAAACAAGAAATAAACTATATGGTGCTGTACAATGTTTTAAACTATTTCAAAGTGCTAGTAAATAAAAAATATGTAGTTGCTATTCTGAGAAGCCAAGCCCAACTGTGGGCTTATGGTTTTGTTAATTCAAAACCTTCTGGTTAACTGCCTTTTTGAATAATCAATTCTCTGCTGTAATCCTATTGAAGTCAGTTGGATGAACCATATGACAGTTTCTCTCTAGGAGCCTCTATCCAGGCAGGTTTAAGCTCCTTTCTGTGCTCTTTCCAGAAGTGCACATCTCCCTTTCAGGTTTTCCTGACTCTTTTAACGAATACTTTTAGTGACAAACTCATGGGCTTTTGCATTTTTGTCTTCTCATTCTTTTCTTATATATTTTTTCCATAGTGCGCCATATTTCTTCCATTAAAAAGAACCTTAAAAACAACCTTTTGGCCTATAACTGCTGATGGATCGCAGTTGTGACCAGTGCGCAATCTGATATGCTGCTTCTTTCATTAAGAAAATCCCCATTTCACAGATGGAGAGAACTAAATTTCCAGAGTGGTTCACTTCTTCTGGATGCCTTCTTGAAACACCTAAGGCTTCATTTCAGAGGTTCTGAGAATGTGCAGTTGCCACTGCTTTCAGTTACAGCAGAAAATGATCTGCAATTCTAGAAGTCTGGCTTAGATTTTTCACTTTTTTTTCCAACTTTCTGCCAAAAGAAAGCCACAAGGAAAGGGGCAAAACCCACGAATACAAATAGGTCTCCAGAAACAGCTTCAAGTACATGTACACACATCATATCATGTACAAAGTTCTGCCAACAAGAACCTAATCATAATTAGCAAATATAGGTGATTATCACAAACTGGTTAGAAACAGGTGTACATACCAGCTGGGCCAAAGTAGTCACCTTTAATCTTCTGAATAGCTCATCCTTTTTGTGTCTGTAATCTTTAAAGAGAAAAACAGAAAGAAACATGTCTTTATATCCATCCCCATTTCCTCTAAATACCAAACTATGAGGCTCAACAAGAGCTCTTATTGTAAAGACTCTGACCTGTCAGGTTTTTAAGGGGACTAGAATTTCAGGCTGACACAGGTTAGAGGGAGCATGAGAACCAACATGAAGGGCTGAGAAAAATATCAATTATAGAGAGATCCTGCCTCTTAACAGGTATGATTAGAAAGGGGAGGGACAGATCCAAACAGCCCCTAAACCTCCCATCCCCAAATGATGTCATTTGAAGCTAAGCTAAACAGTGGAAAGCCATTCAAAGTGCTTAACTCCCCTCCTGTTCTCCTTCAGATCTCACCACTTCTATGGAGCCTCTTAAGTCAAAAGCAATGTTCTGTGACCTGAATTTTTATTGTACCGTTTACAGAAAAGTTAGTCTCTCTGTCCCAGAACTTTAAGTTCTGGAAGCAGTCACATACAAAGAATACATTTACCTACTGCAATTTTATTGTTTAAGCTGCTTCAGATCTTCCCATTTTATTGTAAGTTAAAGAAAGTCAGATTTTGGTTCCCTTGTTTGTCAATATGAATTCTCTACAAAAGGAAAGAAATTTTCAGCTGGAACTTCAAAGACAAGTGTCCGTTATATAGCGTCTGCATCCAGGTACACTTCACTACCAGAAAGCAACTGTACGTTACATCAGTACTACGTAAAAAAAAACTGATCAAGCTGTTGGAGGGACCAGCGTGTATTTAGCTTTATTAATTTTTCCTTTGACCGAGTGATGATAAAAGCAGACGCAGGATTGTTTGCCTCCTCAAATATCTGTGCATCAAGCAAGAAGACATATTTAGCAACAAGAGATATTTAATAACAAGAGAGATTAAGAGAGACGACTACGAACAACAGGTGAAGGTTGGACAAGCTTCCTGACATGCGACACTCTTCCGAAGGGAAGCAACGGAAACCTCTTTAATACATTTCAAGTTAAACAGGACAGAACAGAACAGTGGAGAATGAGCAATAAGGGACATTTCTGCATTGGCAGGGAAATACAGGAGATGCTCTAACAAGGCATTTCCAGCTCTGGATTCTGCAGCTGTTGAAACAAGGTTGTGTGCGCTTAACTAAACACACAAAAGCCATATTCCATCCTCTAATCTATAATCCAGGGCTCTTTAAAAAAAAAGAAAGGGTGGGGGGGAAGGAAGGAAAGCAAGGCATGCCTTAATCCTCCATTCTTTCTTTCCTTCTGCACTACACTCCCCCTTAGAAATCACAGACCTTTAAAAATGGGACTAATCCTCATCAAAATCGCATTTGTTATTTTCAAGAACATATCCCAGACAAGCCCCAGTGCCAGCAGGGGAGCTGGCTGGCTTTGGGTTGGGGAGGGGGTGGCGGGGAAGACTGGTTATGGAACGCAGAGTTGTTATCAAATCCAGGCTGCTAAATACGTTTCAATCCTGCCATCTGTTGGCTAGTCTCTGGCTTATGCAAAGGGAGTTTGGTGGGATTCGACCCTGATTTCAGCCAACACAAAAGCCGACAATAAAATTAGTTCTCTCATTAACAGTCTTTTGGCTCAGATGGTTAAGAGAGCCAGGGGAACAGAACCTCCTTCACCACACCACAGGTCCTGGTTGCATACAATTAAAGGGTTGCATTGCTGTTGCTTATACTTGCTGCATGTTGAAGCAGGTGTTCAAATCTCTAGGACAGTCACACAGAAGAGGTACCATAAACCTTACCCAGCTTTTGCACATACAATCAGTGAATAGTTTCCATCATCTCTATTCATATATTCTTAAACGCATGCTTTCTTGGTGGGGTGGTATGTTTGGCTTGGCTGAGCTACATCCACTATCACAGCATGGAAAGAGTCTATAAATTTAGCCTTCTACTCTACTGAAAGAGACGCTAGAGCTTGAAGCCCAATTACATGGTAGTAAATGCCCTACTGATCTGTGGCGAAGAAAAGCAGATAAAAGCCATGGGTATAAGAGACCTGAAGTTTTTCTTAAAGCTGTAGAGTTCAGAATGTCTATAAAGACTTGGTTTAAAGGATTCAAATGCAAGGTCTACACAACAACAGCCAAACCCCATGCACCTGGGAAACAGGAACATTTGGAGGTACCCTCATTAGATTTTAAGCCGGGAGCCCAGCAAGATATGCAGAGCTTTATGTTCGGAACCCTGAGCCTGCACCTTAACAGCTGCTATTAGCCACTGGCCCAATAACGAGTATTTCTAATAGCACAATAGCAGCAAGAACACCTTTCTTCCAATCTGTTTCACTTGCCCAGCACAGGACTCTCAAGTCAATATAATTTGTTGTCCAAAAGATCAAGATCCACAGCCATGAATGAGGATAAACCTTTGCTTTTCTGGATACAAGAAATGAAAGACAGGCCCTCTTACAGTTTGAAGTTGCTGAACCTTATGTAACAAGTCAGCTGAACCTTGTTTTTATCACAATGATTAATTAACACACATTGCAACTTCTAAATGGTTTTTTTCACTCTCTTCAAACCAGATGCATTTACACTGAAAGCAGTTCACACAACTCTTTACAAGACTTCATTCTGAACTTTATTAACTCAACTTCCTTTCTGAGCTCAGAAAACTATCATCTGCTAAACCCTTCATTTCAACACAAACAAGTCCAGTATTCACATAACTGCCCCCCTCCACAAACATGTCAAAAGGGTCAGAAAAAATGCTGCCCCTCACACCACCACTACTACATACCTGGCTTTACTGTGGCCGGTCCATTTGGATTTTCTGACATTATGTATCAATGAATTGGTGTTAAAATGTAATTATTCAACTGAGTATTTAGGAAGCTCTGTACCTCTGTACTTCAGCAATGAGAGAAAACAATATTTAAGAAGCAGATCACACTGTGGTAGCGTCTCTCAAGTCTGTGCTCCAAAGGACAAATAATCACAGTTTCAGCTATCTTATCAGTTTTGATTTTCCAGTGGATTTGAGGTATTGAGTCCAACTCTCTCTGGTTACAGAAGAGACAGAGAATTGACTGTACTAGGTATTTAAAGTTGTGTCCAACTGGTGTCATCTATCCATGAGAAATCAAGGCAAAGAAGTTTCTAAATTACCTGGGAACACAAGGTGCCTTTTCAGTAGAAAGCATGATGAGAAAATTTCTATTGTGCTCTAGAACTGGGATTTAACAAGAGGACTTCTTCATAAAAGGAAATGAGATTCGCAGCAGAGATTTAAAACTGAAGAGAAGCACAACAAGATTTGTGGTACAGATACCACAAGACTGCCACTGCTTTTTAAATACTGAAATCTTAGCCAATCAACAAAGGATGTTGTGAAACAAGATAATTTCTCTTTTCACTCTCCCAAAAGACACAACTTAAACAGAAAAAGAAGAGGGAGGAGCAAAAAGCAAAGGAACATTTTGCCCAAAAACTTAACTACAAGCACATTTGTGTTCCAAATACCTGCCTTGTAATCTGAACTTTATGATATTTAATGGAACAGTTTAAAAAAAAACAACCCACAAAAACCTGAAGATGAGCATAAAAAAATCCTAATGATGTGAAGAAACTGATTTTCAAGTCTCCTTAAAGTAAAGCAGTATTATTTAGATATAAATTATTCTCTTGCCTTCTACACAAGCACGATTGTTCCAGCCAGTGAGAACAAAGAAGCAAAACTGACTAGAAACAGAAATTGAAAATGACCAGCTTATTTTCACTGACAAAACCTGAATGAAATACAAAACACCATTGAAGAACAAGTTAGATTTCCATCAGTTTTCAACATCTATAACGTTAAATACAACAGGTTAAATTCACTCCAGCAAGTTCAATGGAGTTGCACAGGAATGAATTTGACTCATTCAGATCTTAAAGGGTCCTCATATTAGTTTAACATAGTGGTTCTCAACCTGGGTGATGTGGCACCCTGGGGTGCCATGCGATTCACTCAAGGGTGCTAGCACCAGTAGATGTGCAAGCATGATTCACACAATAAAACACAGAGATTTCAAATAGGAATGCGGTGTTAAAAACATTCTGACCTGCTGGGGTCTGAGTTCTTTGCAATGGAAGAACTGCTCTACTATTTTTCTGTAGTTAAAAAGCAAGAAGTCTAGGAGACGGTATTTTCTGAGGGGGCCTCAAGTCTGTCAAAAGGTACCTCGACTTTGAGGAGTGCCTTGAATCTAAAAAATAGTTGAAAACCACTGGTCTAATAGAAACAAAACTTCAGATTCAGCTGCATAATAAACTGCGAAAGAAACCAAACCATTTAGCTCCAAAGATGCATAGAAACTTGCGCCCAGGGAATGTTTAGCTATTTCATTTACAGTCTAGTTTGGTTCATTATGTTGGGAAAAGCTATAGTCAATTCCATGGAACAATCTATCTCCATACCAAACACTGCCCCTATCAGCTGAAGGGCCCCTGGGAGAAGCGTTCAAATACTGTATTAGTCCTTATGGATTTTGATTTTCACATAATCCAGAAAGTATTCGGGGAGGGGGGGGAAGAAAGAGGGGATGAATTAGAGGGATCAGAAGAGGAATTATTCTGATTTTTTGTGCGTGGGGGCTGATGGGGAGGGGTTAGATACTTCCCTTTCCAGATCTCTGAAGGGTGGAGGTAAGCTGGGGAGGAATACAGGACAGCCTAAGAAGATTAGTTTGAGCATAAATATTACCCGCTGTTTTTAAAACCTAGGAGGAACATGTTTAATTAGGCAGGTGTCTAAGACACTAACAACAGTATTAAAGAACAGCATCACTTATTGCCAGACCAGCCCTGACCTGATCCACTCAGTCTCTAGAGTTTCTCTTTCTCCTTTGTCCTTCCTATCAGCACCCATCCTGGTTAGTAAGAGGATACAAGGCACCAGAGGGTTTCTGGAAGAGCTCCCAGAACTGTCTGCATGGATGCTTTATACAGGTTTATCTGTAGACTAGGGGTCAGTAACCTTTTAGAAGCAGTGGGCTGAAACAACACAGCTTGGCCCAAAGGCAGGCTGCCACTTGTGACCTGACTACTTCTGCCACTTCCCCAGCTACTAAATTACTACCGCCATACCCATGACCCAGGCGCCACTTCCCTTGCTGCTGATATTCTTTCTCTGTGGGCTGGATGAAATTGCTTGGCAGGCCAGATTCAGCCCACGGGCCTTAGGTTGCCAACCACTGCTGTAGAGGATTGTGGAAGAAAACTTAAAGCTACCTGATACAGAAACAGAGTGGATATCCACAGCCTCAGCACTACATGCTTGTAGCTCCTGTTTACTCTTAATGAGATCCGGGCATAGATGCTGAAAAGAACTGATAACCTCAAGACCACAATGAAGGGTGCAGGATTTGAACATGCACTTTGAACTAAGCCATCTGTGACCCTCCAGGCCATAAATTACTCACTTCTTTTCTTCTCTTCCAATTTCTCCATGCATTTGATCAGGCTGTTACCTACAAATCAGAGTAAATACTTGGTAAAAAGGCTCTTTACAATAAGGGGTTATATTACATTATGCTTAAACACTTATAAATGGAGGAGACTAGATCTTAGAGTATAAACAAATGCCAAGTGAAGCAGATTAGCTGTGGTGGGATGTACCCCGGTACGGCTGATCTGGTTTGCTGGGCAAAACACGTTATCCACTGTCACCCATTGTCCCACATGAGCAACGAGGGAGACATATTCCCTGCTTAGAGACATGCCCCAGAGATTCCCATATTTGGAGGCTTTGTATTATCCCAATAAGGGCATAGCTGGCACAAACATTGCTCTTACCTGGGCTGCTATGGCTGGAAACAGACATGGCCTCTGTTTTGCCATAACAATTTTTATGGCAACAAAAGCCAAAGCAAATAAACATCCCCACCTTTCATCATACCACATTTTTTTTTTGTAGCCACAATAGATAGTAATCAGTTCTGCTGCTTTTTCACAGCACACATCTATTTGCAAGTTTCTCCACTTAACCCCTGTATCTCTCATGAAAGATCTTGCTGAACAGCGAGTCAGGAGACTCGATGGACTGCCTCAGCCAACCGGTCCTGGGATTAAGGTGCTCAGTACATCTAACAATGTACATAAGGGGGGAAACTTTCCAAGAAATAGTTGGGAAATCTGTTGCTAGCAGAAACTTCAATCTCCTTTTCAGGCATGTAAAGAATAGGTGTTCACTTAACCACTATGCAGTATGCATCCATCCAAGTTTCAGCAGAATCTGCAAAAAAAAAGGACTGGCATCCACAGTCTGCCAGCCAGACATGCAGAGCTCCTGAAACTACTGGGTGGGGGAGAAGAGGGGAGGTCCTCCAAGTTCCATCCAAAATGCCTCCTTCCAATTAAAAGCACGTGTGATTTTGGCAACATTTTGCAGAATGAAGGAACAGTTTTTAGAAGGCTGTAACTCAGGACATCTACTTTGCTATAAGAGGAAAGGACTGGGAGTCAGGACTTCAGCATTCTATTCTTAGCTCCAATGCTATCGTACTATGTAACCAGTAAGTGATTTCCCCCCCACAGTACTCCCATGTGTGCAGGTAAGTATTCCTAAGCCAAATTCTGCTCTGTTACACCAGCATAAATGCAAAGTAACAGTTCTTATCTTCTACAGAATCACTCTGGACTTGCATTGGTGTAGTAAAGCAAAAACTTTTTCCAGCCAGTATTACTTATCCTGACCTCACAGAAGAGCTGTGTTGCTTTTTGACTTCTCAGTATGGATTCCAAGGTTTTCAGGGAAGGTGTTCTGCCTTCTGCATGCACACTCAAGACCGCACAGTTTATAACAGTGTCTACAGAACCTGGAGCTCCTCAGATGCTTCATCTGAGCTTGTGGAAACTGAATGCAAGTCCAGTCTCTACCACAAAATAGTTATTTTTTCATTTGATTCAGATACAGGTAGTAAGCTGTTGAAGATGGCAGATGGAATAACAGCCCCCTTTTCATGAAAGTATGTACAATTTGGCTGTAGCATCTGGGGCTCTTTGGAGGAAAGAGAGATTACTAAAAGGGCATTTGCAATAGTCAGGACCAGGAAGTAATTAAGATGCAAAACGGACATATTTAAATAAAGAGGAGGCTCGGAAAGATGACTGATTCAGGTAGCATCCAGAAGGGGCTGATGGGTCAGTCGTTAGAGATGGGATGCTGAGAGAGAAGTACTGGAATAGAGGTCAGATTTTTAGACTCTGGAGCAAAGTCTGTGTGTCTAAGATTGGTTGGGAAAAGAGAGGATCAAAATGAACACTCATATCCAAGGCTTCAGCCTTCAATGCATTTATTAATAAGCAGGTGACGACTGCATGGAATTTTGAGTCCTGCTAGCATAAGAAAAAAAAATCAGTGGCATACGATACAGTATTCTCCTTCCGTATAACATGCAAGAAATAACTAATATGAGGGAGATGTATAGGAAAGTATCCTCAACGGAAATCACTACAAAAAAAATTTTAATGCGATAAGAGGTAAGAAGACCAAGTGCAGAATCCCAGAAATGCAGAGGAAGATAGTAACTGAAGAGCTGAAACAAAACCAAGAGCCAGGAGATTCTAGTTCCAATCACAATTTGGTTTCAAATTTGCAGAGTGACTTTAGGCAAATGACTTACTTGCTCTTTGTCTTGATTTCCCCCAGATTTGAAGTAGGAATATTTGTTTGTGTATGGAAAAGTTGATGATATTTAGATTGATGTTTGGACAGCAATTTGAAGAGGCAAATATTTAAAGATCTTTTATGAACATAACTTCTGTAATCACATAATGACTCCCCTTCTCCCCTGCAAAGTTGTGCATTTACTGCATCTACTACACCAACAGGTTTCAAAAAGACCAGTCAGGTCAAGGGTTTCAAAAAGCGGCAGGTCAACATGGAGAGTCTGGCTTTAAGATGACAGCTCAAGCAGGGAAGAGGGCAACCTAATACCTATCTAAAAAGATTTTAATGTTGTAAAAACCAGGCAAGAAGATAATTTAAAGTGGTTCAAGGGCATATAGCTAGGAATAGTGGGAGGGAAATCAGGCAGTTGCTTCTTTTCCCAGTGAAACTGAGGAAAGCTTCATACTCAACACCTGGGGTGGACAGGGTACATCTTGGAGTACTCAAAGAATTGGGTGAGGTAATTGCAGAGCCATTGTCTATTATCTCTGAGAACTTGCGGAGGGCAAATTAGGCCCCAGACAACTGGAAAAGGGCAAATATAGTGCCCATCTTTAGGAAAGAGAAGGAGGAAGACAGGGGAATTACAGACCAGTCAATCTGACCTGGATATCTGAGGAGGCTCATGAAGGAGGTCAACAAGGAATCTATTTCTAAGTATCTGGAGGAGAATAAGGCGATCAGAAACAACCAGCATAGATTCATCCAGAGTAAGTCATACCAGACTAAAATGATTTCCTTCTATAATGAAGAGATGGGCTCAGTGGACAGCGGAGGGAGGGAAAACAGTGCATGTGATATACCTTTATTTGAGCCAGATTCTGGACACTGAATTTCATGACATTCTCATTAGCAAACTAAGAAAATATAGTGCCGTTCAGTGTTTCCCAACTGGTGTGCCACCAGAAATGAACAGGTATGCCATGGAATTTTGGAAAAATAAGTCACACGTTAGAAAAATTAAAGAAATGAATAAATGAAACATATCATTTATATAAATTAGTTTTGTGGACAGAACCAAAGTGTATTGTGTTGCTGTTCCAGTGTACAGATGCGAGATGGTATTCCATGCTATGCTCTAATGACTTTGGAAGGGGGGGAGGTGGGGAGGAGGGGTGTGCCACAGAAAATTTTGAATGTAAGCGTAAGCGTGCCTTGGATTGGAAAAGGTTGGGAAACACTGGTTTAGACGACTGTACTGTAAGGTGGATACATAATTAGTTGGATCATCATGCTCAAGGAACAGTTATCAATGGCCTGGTATCTGAGTGGGAAGAGGCATTGAGTTAGTCTATCCTGAGTCTGGTGTTGTTTAATACATTCATTATTGATTTGGGTGGTAGGAATGAGAAAATTTGCAGGTGTCACCAAGTTGGTTGGAGCTGCAGACACTCTGGAGGGTAGGGCTAGGATTCAGAATGACCTCAATAAAATGCAGAAATGCTCTGAAATTCATCAAATGAAACTCAACAATAAGTGCAAAGTCCTGCACTTGGGACAGAACACTCACATGCACAAATACAGACTAGAGGATGACTGGCTAGGCAGCAGGATTGCAGAGAAGAACTGGAGGGTTACAGTGGACGACAACCTGATTATGAAGCAATAGTATGTTCTTGGTGCAAAAAGCCAAACGTGTGCTGGGCTGTATTAATAGGAGCACAAAAGTGTGTGTTGGGCTGTATTTATAGCAGCCCTATTTGGAAGTCATGGAAAATGCTTCTTCCCCTGTACTTGGCAACAGTGAGGCCTCACCTGGAGTACTGCCAGACTGGGGCACTGCACTTCAAGGAAACATGGGCAAATCAGAGAAAGAGTCCAGTAGAGATCAACAAAAAAGGACGAGAGGCCTTGGAACCAGGATTTATGAGAAAAGGCTGAAAGAACTGGGATTATTTAGTCTGAAGAGGAGATGACTGAAAGGGGATTTGATAACCAAAGGGTGGTTAAATGGAAGAGGGAGATAAATTATTTTCTATACCCATAAGGACAAGGAGCAAAGGTCTTAAACTGAAGCAAGGGAAATCTAGACTGGAGATTAGGAAGCTCTCTCTCACTTTTGCAGGCAGGTGAGCACTGGAACAGGCTACCGAGAGGGTTTGGCATCTCCAACTTTGGAAGTTTTTAAGAGCAGGTCAGACAAATACTTGTCTAGGATGGTTTATACATGGAGGATCCTTCTCCCTTGAGCAGGATCAAGACAATCCCAGACTAGTCTCCTGAGGTCCCTTCCAGCCCTACATTTCTGTAATTCTATGATCACTTAGGGCAGGACTGTCCAACTACTGGTGGCTCACAGACCGCATGCCCAACCCAGCTGCTGCGATACCCACTGCACTAGCTGCAGCAGCAGTCAGGGTCTCCAGGCTCCCCTTCTCTCCTCCAGCTTCCACTTTCCGCCCCAGGGGCAGGGCGCAGTGGGGAAACCCGTGGTTAGGGAGCTGGGGGTGGGTGCTAGGGCACCTGCACAGCATGGTGCAGTGGAGGATGGGGCTTCACAGCATGCAGCCCCCAGCTGCTTAGAAGCTGAACAGCCCTGACTTATATCACCAAAAAAATGCGTGCCCTCTTTTATTGGAAAACAGTCTATCCGGGAGAGACGTTAACACAAGCTGTTGAGCAAGAGTTGACCTTAAAGTATCACCTCTCGAAGATCTCCTGAACTGTCCTGGCTACAACCATCACTACAAGCCTACTAGGATGCATTTTAAAGTAATGCTTTAAATGTCAAGTTGTTTGTAAAACAACAACTTATACAAAAATAATGGGAAAACCCAGGCCCATACATTTTGCTAGGCACTGTTGCATCATGAGTCTGACCTCATCCAAGGCTCCGATTGTGATGAGGCCATTAAGTCATTTCCTAGTGTGCGCGCAGAGGAGCCGGCTTCATACAGGCAGGCAGAGATGTACGGCAAAGGAATTTGTTACTGTGTGAAATTTAACTTGCTGCTTCTGACCCCACTTACCCGTATCGAGGCGAGTTTTCACGTACTGATACTTAGGGTTCTGGGGAATCCTCCTGGTTAAATACTATTTAAAAAAAAGAAGAGGGAAAAAAAAAAAAAAAAAAAAAAGCAGCAGGTCAACACACCTTCCCCGCACGCTGCAAACCCTGGCGGGGTCGGCCTCAAGAGAGTCATTTGGGGAAGGGTCTAAAGAGGGGTCAAAAAAGGAAAGGGTGCGAGGGGAGGTGGAGAACGGCAAAGGCGTCGGGCTGGCAGGGCTCTGTGGAGGGCACGCCTCGGCCATCGAGGACCAGCCCGCTGGAGGGCTGGTGACATAGTCCCACAAGCCCCAACCCCTTGGGAGCCCCAGAGTGCTGCACCCCTCACACCCTCAGGACCCCTCAAACCCCACCACCCTTGGGGCACCCCCGGACGCTGCACTACTCCTGCCCCCCCATGCCCCAGCCC